GACCTTTTGTTCGGAAGTTATGGTGTTTTGAAAGCTCAAAAATCGCTAAATTTGCTGCCCCATGTTATGTCAATGGGAAAAAAGATTTTTTTGAAGTGTAAAATACGAGATATAGACTGAGTACAGCTTAATATAATGAACGCCTATTAAAGAAGGGGACCTCGAAGGCTACTTAGCTCCAAAATTTGGACACCAAAATGCCTAGGTCAAAATCTAGGTCAAATTTATAGTTTTCCCTTATTTTTGCGATTCTGACACTATATTTAAATGATTTGCTTTAAAATTTTGTGTACAGGTAGCAAAGAGTATGCTAATAGTGTTAGCGTTTTGCCGTCAGAAAGTATTTTGACGCACTTTTGAGATATGGTGTCCGAAAAGTAGGCCAAAGTTAAAAGTTTTCCAAATTTAACGTATGAGTTATGAATTAAGGGTAGAATTTTCTCAGAAATCTAGATCTGCAAACCAAATTTCGATCCGACTACTTGTTCTGAAGTTATGGCGTTTTGAAATCTCAAAAATCGCTAAATTTGGTGCCCCATGTTAAATCAATGGGACCGAATAATTTTTTGAAGTATAAAAATACGAGATATAGAATGAGTACAGCTAAAAATAATGAAAGCCCATAGAAGAAGGGGACCTCAAAAGCTACTTTCCTTCAAAGTTTGGACACCAAAATACCTAGTTCAAAATCTAGGTCAAATTCATAGTTTTTTTTATTTTGCGATTCTGACACTACACTTCAATGATATTCTCCGAAATTTTGTAAACTTGTAGCAAAGAGTGTGCTAATAATGTTAACATTTTGCCGTCAATAAGTTTTTTGACCCACTTTTGAGATATGGTGTCCGAAATGTAGGTCAAAATAAAAAGTTCTCCAATTTTAAAGTATGAGTTATGAATTAGGGGTAGAATTTCCTCAGGAATCTGGATCTGAAATTAAAATTGCAATCCGACCACCGGTTTAGATTCTACGCCATTTTGAAGTTTGAAATTCGCACTTGCCAGTATTCACGATGCAGATTGATCAAATATACTTTCAAAAATTCCTGCATACCCTACTTTACCTCTCTACCTACTCAGCTACTTATTTGACTACTTACTCAATTACTTAATTAGTTATTACTTCCTTAGCAACTTACTCAGCTACTAACTCAGGTACTTACTCAGCTACTTACTCAGCTACCTACTCAGCTTTTTACTCAGTTACTTACTCAGCTACTTACTCAACTACTACTAAGGTACTTACTCAGCCAATTACTCAGTTACTTACTCAGCTCTTTACTGATCTATCTAGGTCAAATAAATCTGGAGTCTTAAATTGAACTTGTTCAATTTCACAAATCTAGTTACATTTATATTTTTTTGTAGTTTGTTGGATATTAGCCACTTATTTAATAATATAATATAAATTGTGATTTTTAACATTCCATCCATGTTGTGTAGGTATATAGCATACATGAAACTTTCCAAATAAAGTGCTCAAGATTTGTAATAAGCATATATCCACTTTAACCAGAACTATTTTTTCTCATTATAACACATTCCATTCATGTATTTATTAGTGCAAATACAAATGGCAAAGATAGATTTGGTAAAGGATGATTTTCGCTTTTGAGAACCAAATTCATCTGCATATTCCGACGTTATCCATGTTACCAAAAATTTCATATTTTTACGTATTGTAGATTTTAAAGTATACAAAGAGGACATTTAAATTTACAATACACAAAAATGTTCATTTTTGGCAACATTGATAACGTCGAAATATGCAGATGAATTTGGTTCTCCAAACCGAAAATCGTCTATGGTTATCCAAACTGAAAATTGTCCTTTATAGATGTGTCATCTTTCAAAAGATCTGAGCTGTGAGGCAATCCCAAAGGTATTGGAGTAGACAGGTTTTTTGTCATCACCAGAAGTGGCGACAAACATTTGTTCTAGTCTCCAACTTTTTTGGCTGGTGTTCAGTGTCTGTAACAACATACAGCCTCTGTAACAAAAGGCATGTGGTGACAATTTGCATGTAAATGCCTTGTGCTTTATTTGCAAAAACTCTGGGGGCCACATTCATGACCTGTTGGCTTTATGTTTGTGATAGAAATCTGTCATGTTTATTATAGTAAATTAAAGTGTATCATCTTTGCCTATGGTTATTGGAATTAATTTTTGATAAATGAAGTAGATGAAGTCCTTGTGATGTTATATTAGTTACATGTAGAATAGATGCCTTATATTTTCCAAGACAATCTTTTAATGACAAATGTATGTACTGGTATAGTACTCTGTATTTTTTAACTACTGTTTTCATGTTGTTTCTCTTTTATCAGAATAAAGTAGTATAGCTTATATAAGTTCACTGTTTTGGTTGTTGTTGTCGTGACTTAATTGTTATCATATTTATTGCAAGTTTTATTGGTGGTTCTGCAATTGACAAGGAAATACTGGAAATAGTAACATGTCAGCTAAGAAAATGTCAGAACTGAGCCTTGCTAGAGGTTCAACAATATTAAAAGATCTCCCTAAAATAAAATATTCAGTATTGGAATTTCAGAATAATTAATTCTTGGGTATGTTAGGTAAATTTTAAGGTGGTTTTCTCGTTTCATTAGTCAGCTGTTTCTTGACAAACATAAAAGACTAGTCTCGGTTTGGAGAACAAAGTTCATCAGTCTACTGCACGTAACGCCTGCTTTGGACAATTTTGATATTTTTACATATTGTAGATTTAAATGTCCTGTTTTGAATATCCATAATTTAATTTGGGTGTTACAGTGTATTTCTATATTTTTCAAAAAATCTTTAGCGCAGTAGACTGATGAACTTTGTTCTCCAAACCGAGACTCGTCTTTTCCAGGGCTGCCTTGGGTATTATATTCTAGGCCTGGTTGTTATTACATGCTGGGTATATTTTATGATGACCATTTTGATTTTAATATCTTTCTTTGATTAAGTTTTACCAACAATACTATTTTCACAATATTGTTCACCATGTAATTTTAAGAGGAATAGTGGAGACTAATGATAGATAGTCGAGACTTTAAGCTAGTGATGTTTTTCACAAGGTAACCATGAACGCAAAGTTAATGAATCAACACATGTACAGGGTGTCAAATGGCGTTGTGCCCCCTTTCCCCAACATAAACTAGAAGAGGTACACATGCATACTGTATACCATTGGAAAGAGCATTTAATTGTTCTTAGAGTGTGAAAAGATGAAGATGGATGATAGAAAATGATACATAATTTGAACCAACTTTTAAAAGAGGGTTTGACCATCCCCCGCAACTTTAAACGACTGCCAGTCAGGCTGGATATCAAGTTAAAAGGGCATTGAAAGGAGCAATATCTCGAGCAGAGATCTCAATACTTTTTGAGGTTCCCCTGGAGGATATCTATGGAATATCTGTTCTCTACAGCTTCAACTTCCATAAGTAGCTCTGTTTTATCCATTAATATGGGCTCAATTTGAACTGAAGCATTTAAGTCAGAGATGTTGCTCGGGTATTCACCAATACCAAAAAGGTCTTTGCAGGAATTTTTAAAAATCAATAAAAATAGCACTATACTGGTGCATTTCAAATGTTTATGAAACTTTGTAGCAATATCTGACCCTGGTCATCTAGGGTTCATTTTATCCAGAATTGAATGCTCTTTCTTATGATATATATAATGTATGTGTACTTCTCCTAGTTAATGCTGTGGAAGGGGGGCACAACGCCATTTGACACCCTGTACAGTAATGTGTATGGCACACATACAAAACAAGTGCTAATTAGTCTACTTCAGATACCCGATCAGCTTCATCACAGAAAACCTTCTATATACCTATCAATGGCATATTACACGATAATGTGTAGTCTAAGTAACAGACTAAGTAAACACTGTAACCGAACATTGTTTATGTGAGAAAACAAGCATTTGTAAAGGGCGATTTATAAGTACAGGCTTCCGTTTCGATTTTATATATATGCATTGCTTAAGGTCTCCAGTAACTAGAATGTCCTAACTTCCCAGTTTCAGGAAATGTTGGGAATTGGATGAATGTATTTCATCTAGGATTATAAATTGTTGTGTTTGTTTGAAGATATAAAGCTAATTCTTGTAAATTCCATCTTTCCTTTTTTAGGAAGTATATCAAAAAATATATTGTATTTATTTCCAGTTTCAATACACTGAAACAGTACAAAAATAGGACCCACGGTCCTGTGCTCACACAGTTTGGACCTTCAGAGGAATGTATATCCTGACTTTAAAACAAAAATATTGATTTGGATTTGTAGTCTTGAACTTAAAGAAATACCTCGTAAACTTTGATAGCACAGTTGTGTGACCTAGTTTGATGACCTTTGACCTTGAAAATTTGACTTATTCAGAGCTCAGTAAGGTCTTTTGTGATTAAGCTGAACAAAATTTACATCCAAAAATTAATTTGAAAAATCAACTTTTTTGACCTTTCGAAGGTAACTGAAGGTCAAGTAAAGGTCAAATCCTAAAACTAATGTCAGATTTGAGCTCCTGGCAACTTGTAGATGATTTAAAAACAAAATTTGGTCAAATTGAAGCAAGTTGAAAAATAATTTATTTTTACTGTTTTTTGACGTCAAATATCTCAAAAACTGTAAAAATTTGATGCTGACATATATTGAGCAATATGTAGGGAATGCTTAAATCTAGTAATGATGTAATTCATTGCAAGAAATGATTTAGTATAAGGCAAACTTTGAGAAACTTGTCAATCACAAAACTTGTCAATCACAAAATAGGCATTATGGATATGCATAAAATGAATGTGGGTACGACTCAATCCGAATAGCAGTTTTAATTTGTGCGGCCAATGTTGACGGACGGACCAACGGACCAACGGACGGACGGACCAACGGACGGACGGACGCCTGGTCGATCCCATAGGCTCACTGTGTGAGCCAAAAACTAGGCTAAAATAGAATTACTTTTCAGAATAATAGTAATACATAATACAAAATGTAAAAAATGTTCTATCTTGTACAACATACTTCACTAGCAGAAGTTGATAAATTCATTGGCATATAATCCGAATATGGTTTATGTTTCAAAAGTATTGAAATAGAAATATGCTCCTTTTATTGTCAATGTCTGGACTGCACATGATTCCTGCTGATTAGCAATGATCTCATTAGATATATATCCCTGAAAGCAAAAAATTATTTCAATGTATAAATGAATAAATAATTTATTGCTTGGTTGAAACAGGTACTATCATGTACAATCAATCCTATAATTGTCTTCTTACGTGATATGAATTATGTCGGAGAACTTAGAATGTAGATAGCTTAATTATAAAGCAACATTGGAAACTGTTGGATGGTATAAATACATTTCATGTTTCGGTTCTTCTGTTAATTCAAAAAAATAAATTTTGATAAAAATCATGGTATGAAACCAAATCATTTATTCATATCAATTAGTTTTATCAAATCGTCGCAATCATAACATCATATCATTAATATGAACTCTTTGATAAAAATAAGATCTCTCAAAGCGAATGATATCATAAATGTATCACTTTTGCATTTCCATTAACACAGAGATGAAAAGCCGTGGGGAGATACTTACATTTAATCAATTAAAACGAATGTTGGCGATGGCGATGGTGTCCTCTGTTTTGATGATTTTCATAGTACATAAAATCCTATGAAATAAATAGCTAGGTCAAGTTAAACATGCAACTTTTTTTGATACATCGCTCAAGTTTAGTGGGATAATTTTAGTAAAAAGTAGGCCAGAGACTAAATGCTGTGTTGTTCAATAAAGTTCTTCATATAGTCCTATAAAATGTTTTCAACTGCAAAGCCTGGTGACTAAAATGGATTAATTGATTGAAGTCAACCGGCATTAACCATTTGTCTTTCTGCAATTGTTATTGGGGAGAACACAAGGTCTCTATCATCAACTGATATAAAGGATAATTTGATGTTCAACAACGAATCACTTCGGTTTTCAATTGTGACCATGCGCCAAATATTAAATATTTTACAACATATTGGATAAACATTGTCACAATGGTGTGACCAAATTCTGACCGCTCCAATGTCTTATATTCAGCAAAGAAACTTACAATAAGGAAAACTGCACCAATCATAACAGCTTTCATCTTGACATCAAGATCCATTGGAACTGGAAATCAAACTTGGTATGATAGACACAGAATATCAGATCATTTTAAATATCATTTTTATTGATGATTTCTGAGGCTTCATCCAAGACAAGATTTAGATTAGACTATTAGTATATAATAGGATTGTTTAAATTCAAATAAACTCCAATTGTTATGTTTGTTGAAACATTTGAGACTTGACAATTACAAACAGATTTTATTTTAAAAATTGACAAATCAATACTTGTCTTGTTAACCATTAAAGACCAATAAAACTACTGTATAAGTATATACAGGGTGGGCCAAAAAAACGCCACTTTTTTTTCAAGACACTATAACTTTTTTATTTTCCAACGTATATACCCCAAATTTTGCAGTTACATAGTGCTAGGGGTTCTTAGTAAAATATTATATAACAAGTCCTTCAACTTGGATTATATTTGATCTAAATGAGGAGTTCAATTGGTCCGCCATCCTCTCTGATGATGGCTTTAAGTCTTAGTTACCTTGCTGATATAGCAGTATCAGTTAAATGTTGGCTAAGTTTCTTTCAACCTGTCTTAATTGCCAACTTTAGGTGGGCAATTTTTTAGATTGGGTGTCTTCAAAGTTATACCATTTTGAAAAAAGTGGTGTTTTTTGGCCCACCCTGTATATTTTACTTTAATCCTTATATTACACTAGTTGTATGTAGATTAAGGTTGCATTCATTTTGCTGGTCCAGACCCCATAAAACTTTGTGTCATTAGCTTGTGTACAAAATGATTGAATAATGAACAAATAATACCGATGACTCATGTACGACCTTTGGACTTGGTGGACATTGTATTAATGCTAAAAAGGTCTTTCAAGTTGATGTGTCTTGCTATACCTTTGGTTTTATGACCATCTAATTGCTAAAATGCTAAATCGCTGAAATCTAAATCGCTTGGAAGAAAGGCCACTACCAAGCTAGACACTGATGATTATGTAACATAAGGTGCTGTAATAAAAAACAGAATAATCATGTTTTGAAGGGTTGCAACCAGCAAAACGAATATTGCCTAAAGCTTACATGAAATACCAAAGTTATCAGCATTGGTCATTTGCTCCTTCATGTGGCCACTCCATTGTTTACTAATCTTCCCAACTTGTTGGGCACTTTCAGGCGATGCAATCTACATAAAAATTAGTTGTTTCTTAGTTAATGACATTTAAATACCCTATGTCAATTTTCAAACATTATCAGGGTTAAAAAATGAATGAGACAAGACTGCTGGAACTTACCACAAAATCGTGATCTCCTGTGCAACAAGGCCCCTGGCACGCACAAGTAGGTCCTTCAACATGAAATATAGCTTGCTCGTTGGCATTACGGATCTCATATTTTGGTACTAAACCACTGCCTCTGTAAATCATAAGGTAACCATACACAGGATGACCCCAGAAAATGTTACCCTCTAATTTTGGAATAACTTCATGATTTCTTTTGTGTATACTATAGTGTTTATGCAGAAAACAGTGGTGTACTTCTAATCAGTATTGCATCTATGATTTTGAGATTTAGAGTAATCTTGTCTTCCGTCCAGGTATGCTATCATGGGAAATCGTCCAAAAATGACAAGAATGCAATTTTCTGAAATAGGGATTTCTGTCTTAGCCATCATTTGGGTCATTTCTTGATTGCTTTCAATCATATCTTCAATTAATGTCCTTTTTATAAAATTATCTTGTCAAATATGATGAATTGATTTGCTTATTACTTATGTAATGACCCGAGGGCGCCCCAGGTGAATAACTAATTAACTAACGAGCATGGTGTAACAAGCCAGATAAAGAAATTGAAAGTGCTAAATTCAATGCCCCGCATGGGAATCGAACCTAGGACCCTTGGATCCAAAGTCTATCGACTGAGCTATAAAGGCTTAAGCCACTACAGCTGGGCCGTAGTAGCAACTTGTTATCAAGGGTCGTTACACTATCTCCCCCTTTGAAAGGACCACACCCTCGTGGTCAGCCCTGCTTCCCTAGCAGTGACTTCCATATACAAAAGGGCGCAAAGGATACAACCAATGCTCTGATCCCACATCTGACACCAATGTAATGACCCGAGGGTGCCCCAGGGGAATAACTAACTTACTACCAAGCATAGTGTAACAAGCCAGATAAAGAAATTGAAAGAAAGTGTGCTAAATTCAATGCCCTGCGTAGGATCGAACCTAGGACCCTTGGATCCAAAGTCTATCAAGGGTTGTTACACTTATTTCATAACATTTCTGATTGAGTGTCTCCTCAGAAAACATGATATCTCTAAGTCGTTTCCTCCATAATTGAGAGTTATTCCAAAACTAGAGGGTAACATTTTTATGCTCACCCTGTAATAACAGCAGAAACAACAAAATATATAATTTTATGCATTTTATTTTATAATGTTAATTGTTGAACTGATACACAGATCTAACAGATATCACTTATTAAATCATCATTGAGTTTTGTTTAAATATACAAGTGGTCACTTGTATCCTATAGCTAACCAGTATAAAGAAAATTCTACCTTAGTATCATAGAGCCAATTGTCTGTCCCACGGGAGCCTCAACTGTTACTTGCATAGAATGATTAAGAGGCCTTGTACATCTGAGCACTTCCTGTGCCAATAACAACAAATAAAAATAGGTAAGAATTAACCCTTCATTCCCCACCCATTTTAAGATGTCAAGTATCAAGAGTTCAAGTTACAGGATAACCTGAGACCCAATTCACACGGGGTACCATCGAATAATTTTGGCAACGTACCGGAGAACGACATTTTACTAAGAAATGGCAATAATTTAGCACAATATATTTTTTAACTAGAGTTCTCCTTTGATTTTGACAAAAGTAAGTATTCCATGCAATGGCTATTTCATTCATGAGTTTGTAGGAATTCTGTTGGAACCCAGTTCTGATCAAGTACGAAGTTATTGAAATCGGCGCAGTCGGACTTTACTCCGAAAGATGGTTTTTCGATTATAACTTTTTACAACATTTAAGTATAGACTTTTGAAAAAAGTACAGAATAGTCCTTATACTATTGAATAATTCTGTTATTTCTGATTCACACGACTCTGATTTGTTTAATTAAAAAGAAAGTTTTAAAAATATTACTTAGGAACGTAACCGGAGCTGGGAACGTAACCGGAGCAGATCAGTTGCATTATATAATTTAAAAAAATAAAATATATGATTTAAAGCATATATATTAATAAATACGCATTCGAACAATGCCGTATGTTTTTAAATTAGTATATGTGCTTTAAATCATTTTTTTTTCTTTTGATTAAACTGATCTGCTCCGGTTACGTTCCCAGTTCCGGTTACGTTCCTAAGTAATATTTTTAAAACTTTTTTTTTAATTAAACAAATCACAGTCGTGTGAATCAGAAATAACAGAATTATTCAAAAGTATAAGGACTATTCTGTACTTTTTTCAAAAGTCTATACTTAAATGTTGTGAAAAGTTATAACCGGAGCAGATCAGTTGAATTATTTAATCAAAAAAAAAATGATTTAAAGCACATATACTAATTTAAAAACATACGGGATTGTTCGAATGCGTATTTATTAATATATATGCTTTAAATCATATATTTTATTTTTTTAAATTATATAATGCAACTGATCTGCTCCGGTGACGTTCCCAGCTCCGGTTACGTTCCTAAGTAATATTTTTAAAACTTTCTTTTTAATTAAACAAATCAGAGTCGTGTGAATCAGAAATAACAGAATTATTCAATAGTATAAGGACTATTCTGTACTTTTTTCAAAAGTCTATACTTAAATGTTGTAAAAAGTTATAATCGAAAAACCATCTTTCGGAGTAAAGTCCGACTGCGCCGATTTCAATAACTTCGTACTTGATCAGAACTGGGTTCCAACAGAATTCCTACAAACTCATGAATGAAATAGCCATTGCATGGAATACTTACTTTTGTCAAAATCAAAGGAGAACTCTAGTTAAAAAATATATTGTGCTAAATTATTGCCATTTCTTAGTAAAATGTCGTTCTCCGGTACGTTGCCAAAATTATTCGATGGTACCCCGTGATTCAGCAACAAAATATACATGAAGTCAGTAATGAAATGGATTCAGTAATGAAATATGAAATCATACTTTAGCAGTTACAGACTTTTCACTGTATTGGATTACATTCCATCCATTTCCATTTTATGTTTCAGTATAATTGATATCTAAACACAGTGGTTCATTAGAAATTGCATAAAGGAAGAGAATGGGCAGGTAAGGAGGGAGCAACCCAATGGCCAAATACAAGACTCTCTTTACATTTCAAAGAAACAAACCTGTCCAAGGTTATCCGTGACATGGATGACAATGCTCTGGATGGTCCATATAAAATCCTACCAGTCCCATCACTTTCCTCCTTTGCAAAATACACCTGTTGCCCAAGGCTGTTCTTGATCTGATATTTATTTTCCATATGAAAACCTGTCATGACTGAAACAAATTGGCTAAAAGGTGTTTGAGATATAATATTTGTTGAATGATAAAAAAAAAACGTTGCATGGGGCCTTCAAGGTAAACTACAGATGCAATAGTTTAAATTATTTACACGAGTGAACCCATTAATGAAACATCGGTTGGTTATTTCAATATCTAATAATTGTAAGTTAATGTTCAGTATTTACATAATATTTGAGCAAATTATTGTTAAATCTTGTTTGCTGTGTTCGACATTCTAGTAACTAATCCAAACCTTCCAGGAGTTCAACTTGCTGGTGTACAAGAATCTGGTCAATCTTAGTGAGGTATTCTAAGCCAGGGGGGCATCCTGGTATAGTCTCTGGACGTGACATCCATTGGACCTCCCTCTGAGGTTGTGCAGCAAGGGCTCCCATATGTACACCTAGGGGTAGTGCAATAACTTAATAATAAATTAAAGAAATTGTCAAACTGATACATAAAGTGACTTTACAGGCAATATTTCTGAAATTGTAATAGTAATACCTTTTAACAAGTACATTGCACAATGCTATCGTCACTATTGGATCTTCCTTCCTCAGTTAAGACAGAGACAACAGTTTTATATGTTTCTAATTAAGGTGAGCCGAAAAAGATAATCAGCTAATCCTCTTTTTAAAATTACCTAAGTACAGTATATCCAACATTAGCCCAATTTACACTACGCGCAGCATTTCAAGACGTTTTGGCTAAAACGTTTTAGAAAAATTAAGTTGAGTTTACATTACCATTTTCAAGACGTCTTAGGAAATAAGATCGAGTTTACACCTGTTTTCCTAAAACGTCTTAGAGATATGTAGGTATACACTTGCTTGTAAAACGTTTTAACGCTAAGACGTCTTGGCTATGACTAGGGTCCTAAAACGTTTTAGCTAAGCGCTCTTAGCCGAGAGCTCTTGGGTAAATCTGGATTTACATTACATTTTAACGCTAAAACGTTTTAGCTAAGACGTCTTAGCGCGCTAGTGTTAATTCACCAATATTATATCCAAGACAATATATATAAAATATAAAATACCCAGTACCTTGCATCCCTAGTTGGTTATAGCCAGGTTGTACATATCTGGGTTGACCATATCCAGGTTGGACATAACTAGGTTGGACAGATCCAGGGGGGCCATATCCCGGTTGAGCATATCCTGGTTGAGGATTCCCAGGTTGGTTAGGCTGACAATGTTGGCCAGATCCGGGTTGACTATTTTCATTTTGACTATTTTGTTGGTGACCTGAAATGATCAATTTCATTCCAATGTATCATGGAGTTATGTCATGTATGTAGCCTTGTCAGGCAAAAAACAAGGAAAACTTTGTTGCTGTATGGTGTGTAATATATACAAAATTGTCCAGTTTATATGGGGAGAAGCAGATTCAATTAGGCCCTAAAATTTGGGCCTCAATTTTTTTTAAGGGGCTTATCAAAGGGGGACCCCTGCTCCTCCTCCGCCACTGCATTCTACCATTGTCCTATCAAAACACTGTGTATGTTTTTATGCAGTATTGCCATTTTAGTTAAAATTTATTGATATGATTATTGAAGTCTGTCCAGTTGAACACCTCCTTAAAGTGAACCTGCGAAATGGAACATTCAATGGCACTTCATTTACACAGATCTCTGTATTATATGAGATATTGGTGATTTGTTCTGGTTGTTGTAAATGTTATTTTTGTGTTTTTCTGTTTTACTTTTACCCCTTATGGTACTTTAATTGTGTTTACATAATTATAACTGAATTCCAGAGCCTCAGTATTTCTTACATTCTACTTACTATAGTCGGCTGTAGTTGGAGGCAGTACTGGTTTTACATGTAGGGACTTGTCTGTATAAGGTGGGTGAATAGGATCAAGTGGGGTAAGGTGTCCAGGAGGTCTTGCCTGGTCTTGGTGTTGGCTTGAATAAGGCTCACTCATGTTCCTAAAGGGATACGATGCAAATATAACTATATTGTCGCACGCCAGACTCCCGCCGAGTACCCGTACTCCCTCGGAGAAGGTCTGGTGGCGATGATAAGGGATTCGGAGGTGTTTCTCACGGGCGCCGAGCTGGTTTTGTGCTTCGGCTGTCACTGAGCTAGGAGATGGAGAACACAGGAATGTACAAAACAATCAATTACAGGATTTTAACAATCAATTCAACACAAAAAATAATCACAATAAATTTCAGTGTCCTTTAATAATGCCTTTGTGGCCAATAACTCAAATACAAATGTCTCTATATATGAACAAGAGTCCAAAACACTCTGGCTCTGAGTTGTCTGTCTCTACTCTACTCTGCCATACTCTGCTCCTCTGCTTGTCCACTCTGCTCTGCTCTCTGCTTGTCTACTCTGGTCTCAGCTATGCTTTGCTCTCTGCAATAGTCTGCTCTGGAACTTGGTTCTACTCTAGGTGTAACCTCTGCTTCAGGAATCGTCTGACCACACAATTAATCTCTGCTCACGTCTGGTTGAAGAGAGCTCTCCCTCTTGAGCTAACTCGTCTCTTGGAAGGGTCCTAGCTCCGGAAGTAACCTCTGCTTCGGGAGTCGCCTTGTCACGGGAGTAACCACCTTAAAACTCTCCTCAAAAGAGTGCTTTCACTCTATGAGCTACACTGTCTTTTGGAAGGGGTCCAGGCTCTGAGAGTAACCTCTGCTCTTGGAGTCACCACTTCTCAGGATATACCTCTCTACAACCTCTGCTCAATTCACTCTTAAGCTACACTGTCTCTTGGAAGGGGTCCAGGCTCCGGGAGTATCCTCTGCTCTTGGAGTCACCACTTCACAGGATATACCTCTCTCTTGAACGAGATCCACACGCTGGGAGTACCTTCAGCTCCGGGAATCGCCTCGTCTCAGGAGTAACCTCAGCTCTTGAACGAGATCCACACACTGCTAGTACCTCAGCCCCGGGAATCGCCTCGTCTTAGGAATAACCTCTACTCAAAGAGTGCTCTCACTCTATGAGCTACAATGTCTCTTAGAAGGGGTCCAGGCTCCACTTATGTTAAGCAGTGATCTTTTAGTTTAGGAAAAGCCGGTGACCTGCTATCAGCTGCTGCAGAATGTAAACAAAGCCTGGATAGCTGACTACCACTAAAGCGCTAATGTGTAACTTGACCTTTTTAACATTGCTGGCATTTGGTTGCTATTATAAGACAGCCACTTGCTTGTGAGATGTAACTAGGATTAGGGTTTCCCAATTTTGGGGGTAGTCTTAGTAAAATATGTCTGGGGGGCGTTTGCAGGAAGGGATCAAAACAATTCTTTCAATCCTGCATAGGCAAGACAATTCTCTAAATGAACAATTTTGAATCAAGTTGATCCCTTCCTGCAATTTTGAGAGATTTAATGTTCAAGTTGCCAGAATGTTCAGAGAGAATACATTTATTAACTAACCAGCCTGTCATCAAGGTGCTTTAATCTGATAAACTTTCACTCAAATTAAGAGAAACCCTGGAAACATTAGAGGAAGGGATAGTGCTTTCACAAAGTGTTAATTTCAAGACCCAACTCAGTATTAATTACAAGCTGTAATACTATTTTTAAGATGATCACACATTTTAGATACCAAAGAGTTTCTGTGTAAGCATTAGGCCATATGGTGGGAAATCCTAGCAGTGACGTCACTCACTAGCTGATAAGACCAGCTTGAGTAGCATTAAGTGCACTAACTAAAAGTTCGTTTACAGGCCAGCATAACATAAGTGGCTCCGGGAGTAACCTCTGCTCTCAGAGTCACCTCCTCTCAGGAGAAACCACGCCACAACCTCTGTAGAGAATAACAACTCTAGAATGTCAATCAAAGGATGAGATTAGACAGAGCTGTTATTTCTCGCCTTGGAGCACCTCAGTTCCAATATAATGTAACTTTTGCTCCGATGAGAGTAAACCTTCCTCAACATACAACCCTGGGTGAGAGTCAGATCGCCTCGACAAAGTATGAGCATTTATAGCTTGGAGGGGTAATGACTTGGAGCCACCAATATTCAGAGCAGAATGACTCACGAATATCGTTCAAAGAAATGAGATTAGAGAGAGCCAAATCTAATCAGAGAATCTGAAGCTCAAAACTTCTCAAAAATGACGTCACTTTCTTCAAAATCAAAGATGGCCGACCGCCGGGGAATTGTGGGAACAAGAAAGCAAGATGGCGGACAGCTAATTACCCATTTTATGCCAACCTCAATCAAGAAAATGGCTAACTTACCAAAACACTGGCTGTTGTCTTGTATTTTAGTTTCTTCTGTCGTATTTTTGAGACCAATTGTTGGTATCTAAAATGCTGTAATTTAATTGGTCAACATAAATCTTTGAGACTTCAACCAATAGAAACCTTACCTGTTGTCACATGACCCATATTATAATTATTACCCGCCAATTTTACTTACCTTCACTTACAACAAAGAACTTCTTATATCAACAGCTTCTTTTTAAAATTCCAGGTAAGGTTTTTATTCATTCATTTATTTCAAATCAAGTTATTTTCAATATTGTAATTAATTAAAGTAATTTCAATCTTTTATTTACAACAAAGAACTTCTTATATCAACAGCTTCTTTTTAAAATTCCAGTTGACATAAAACTTCATTTCCCCACCCTAAACCCACCCTCTACATTTTATCAAGAATTCACAATTAGGGTGGGCACGACCAGTTTGATTACTTTAAATTATCATGAAAACATAATAAATATATTTTTTTGCAAACTAGTCGCCCTTGCGCCAATTAAATGTGTTATAAGTTGTTATTTTATTTTATGTTTTTATGTTTTGTTTTATTTTATGTTGTCCTGTTTTGAGTCTTATTTATTTTATGTATGTTTTGTCAATAAACTGTAATTTTTTAAGTGTCATAATATGTCACATTACTGTTTGTATTTAACTAACAAACTAAGAGTTTGTAATGTATTGTATTCATGTATTGTAACAGTTTCCATACAAAGGAACACAAATTTTATTTGAATGAATCATCAATAAACTATAAATTATTATTTTAACCAATTTTCAGTTACTTGGATCAATTTAAGTAACAGTCGCAATGAATACAATCTGCATCTAACGATTACTGCATCTAATCCAATATATACAAAATAATGCTTTAATAAGTCCACAGATTAAATAAAACACACTTGTACATAAATAAATCCAAACTGACGAGGTCTTATATCTTCAAGATCTTGGTTTACTTTGATTCAATAAAATCCAGACACCTCAAGTTGCATCATGGGAAAACTACAACTTAAGTTGGAGGGAAATTCAAATAAAAGAATCTGATTGGCTGGTTGCTGGGTGCTTAATTATTCTAATTTATTCCACTACAGTCTGCTGATCCTGTAAACATCCCAGTGCCTACGTGACATTCTGTATGTACACATTTGAGCCATTAAACTCTCTGAAAGAGTCGACTGACTCCATATAAAAGTACAAAATTGAACAAAAAATGAAAATCACAACTTTTGTCACAATATTCTATTAGATTTATCCACGCGGTACAAACTCACCGGGGCGTATCGAAACCAAAACGCCCCGCAAAACGGTTAATTTGAATTTCAAATCTACCCTGTCTTTGGAAAATCAATGATTGTGAGTCTCACACTACACCAGTTTTCTTCAAACTTGTTCCATTAAAACCTTCACTGAAATACCTTTCAGTTAAGACATTGCTTTTGTTTACAAAGTCCCTAGCTCGTTCTAGCGGCGTTTTGGTCCCCAGATGTGAGAAGTTGCAAATTCTCAGAGATTTCAACCACAATCCTTGATATCTCGCCTATTCTTCTATCACTCTCCCCCATATTCTGCGCAAGGACTCCCATTACAACGGAATGTTATAAAAACCCTTCGACCTGCACCTTCGACCTTCACCTTCGACTTACAGGGTGTCCAAAAAGAAAATATTATAGAAGCTATTTTTGCCGATCTCAGACCACGCAAGAGTCACTTGATTTGTGGTTCACAGGTGAGATCATTAAGATCTTAAATTGTAGCAACGTTTGCAGTACTCTAGGTATAGTTACAGGGGTGAAATAGCGTTTTCATGTTATCAAATTAAGATTCTGTTGATGTTGATCGGTAGTCAATCGGGTAGTTTAAATGGAAGTTTCCCTTTTTAGAACTTACTTCCTGGTTTTGATTCGATTGAATCGAAGTAAAATTAGAGTAAGTAGCGATCAATTACTATTCTATTTATTGAGTTCCAATTTATTATAGTCTTGTTGTGTGATCATCAATATTAAAACGGGATATGGCGTCAATAACTTGTTATTTAACTTTGAAATCTTGTCCGAAAAGTGATGACGTCACCAGGCCTTAAAGCCCCCGATAAATCGGGCTACGTTTACCGCCGTCTTAGGGGATTAGAAGAGTTTATTTTTACTTAGGTATGCAAGCAATATCAATATTAGGCCTTCATGCATGTACTCGTGTGTACAATCAGCATGCCCTTCAACTGTTCAATATTATATAAGCCAGGCTATTCAAGTACAACATAATGTACACTATTTATGTGTGTACTACATGGGAATACAATTCCCTGGGAAACAAAACACAAATACTTTTATATGTTCAAAATGAGCCATTTGATTGATGCATACACTTAATACCTTCATATATAAACATCTACAAAGTATATCTAATAGTCATTTTCAATTCCAATGGTGAAACTTGCCTGGTTACGATTATAAGGGAAATCAGCACGGGACGATAGTTGTACACCTTCCTGGCTTACCTCTGAAGCCTGTACCTGGTAATCTCTTTATATAGGTTAGCGGGAGCGCTGCGCCTGCGCAGTTTTAAATTTTGGCGCACACTTTAAAGTATTTCGCCGATGTAAACTCAAGAGATGACAGCTAGCTTTCGACGAGGACAGAGCTCCGTTCAATTTCATAATCTATGTGAAGTTGGACTTAGTCGTTTTTCAAAGAAATATTTTTGGACTTTG